TTCAAGAGTACAAGTTTCGACCGAATTTCAGAAGAGGGCTCGAATAACCTAAACAATCCGAGTTAGATTCATCCTCAAATCCCTACTTAAGTTGCGAGTATATCTACCTAACTTTCGAGTGCAAATTTGGGCAGCTCACCCTTTGTATTTACCTATTTTTCAGTCATTTATGGCTTCATTATTTTCCTCATATCAGCCTCAAAGTCACACACTGATAATCTCATCACAATAGCCATTCAACAAGCTCAATGTCATTCAATTACAAAACCAAGCTAGAAAGGTGACCGGAAATAAGGTTTAAGACAAAGAACAAAATGACAGGTTTGACGTCTCTTAGTGTATTGGTCACAACTAAAGTTACACTTATCGTATTAGGGTGAAATTTATACCATTTCGAAGCTAAGACAAAATTCTACAACTTTGACGAAGATAACTCAACCCAGTTCATAGTTTGTCTAACCTGATTTTCCCTAGCCATAATACCTAATAAAAAGGATTCAATTATTCACATGTACTAAGACACATTTCATATTTTTGACAATAAATAACATGAATTGACTCAAATAACCACAAATACATCCCTCCAAGTCATAAGAAATCAAATAAATATACTAAACGATCATTATTATGACATACGAGAAATGACATATATCATGTCAAAAATTGTCCAAAATCACCAACTTAATCAAAATATGTAACAATTATATCCCAATCAGTAAAATTAGCATTAATCATGATTATAGCAATCGATAATTAGTAACAATAATGCACAAATAGCTATAAATATGGTTAAGCAAAAATTATCCTAATAACTCACAAAATTAGTCCAAATTTCTCATTAAACATAATGCACATACTAAAACATCATCAACTAACCATTTTGTACCATACTCATTGATCACCAAGGACTTAAACAACATTCCAAACCAACTTTCTAATTTTAGCCAAATATAGCAACTTAAAAATTTAAAAAAAAACTATTAATCATCAAATTGTTACATTTGAACTGGTAAACATGCTTAATTACCATTAACAAGCATAATAGAGACCAAAAACATCTATAAACATCATCAAACTTTCAAAATTAAAACATGTCAGAAAGTTCAGGAAATTAAAAAATATTAACTTTTAAAATACGAAAATTTGATGAAAAAACTTTTCTCAATTACATAGAAGGATGTTTGGTGATACTAAATATGTGAAAAATCCTATGAAACACCCTCCAATTGATCTCCAATTGAAGAAATTAAAAACTAGAAACCCTAGCATTTAATCTTCTTAAAACCGATTTTGAGGTGTTTTTGTTGGATTTTAATCGGTTAGAAAGGTTATAAGATGCACCAAAGGTATTGAATTGATGATTTTTAGCAAAGATATGGAGCAAAAATGGAGTTTTGTGAATTGTGTGTGAGAAGAGGAGGGAAAACGCGGCTGGAAGAAGAAGATGAAGAAGGAAAATGAGAAGGAAAATTGCGTTTTCAACTTTTGTACAAGTACTGAATATGCGACTTAACCAAAACACGCCTTCAACTCGCGTTTTGCTCAAGTTGCATTTTCTTCTTTTGCTTGCTGAACACAAAACGCATCTTCAAACAAGTCGCGTATTCTGCTTTGTACATGCAGAATTGAAAATGCGCCTTTGCGAATACGCGACTTCAAGTAGCATATTCATGTCGCGTTTTCTACCTTAAGTTCGCAGAATTAAAAACACGCTTTCTACTGCAACCCGCATTTTCTTCTACGAATTTTTGCAGAAATATTAATTTTTGAAAATTACACATGGTACCCCAATTACTCAAAATGTATCCTAGATCATTCTTTTGCCAAAATTATCATCACATGCACATGTATAATAATCAAAACATGCATTATACCCCTTTTTAGCGAATCAAATACATCTTTAACACAAATCAAGGGATTGGGTTTCTGGATCAAATTTCGTCTTTTTCATCTCAAATGGTCATCTTTGCTTCTATTTACCGAACTTATAACACAAAAATAACAAATTAATTTAATTACACGCGTTAAACATAAAATCATACCAAATTAACATTTTTAACAAAAATATTGAGTTGCCTCCCAACTACCGCTTTTGTTTATAGTTGTTGACTCGACTCAAAAGATTTGACTCATTGTGCGGAAGAAAAGTCACCCAAAGGACATATGAGTCCCTTGGGAACAATTTCACCAGTCAAGTAGGGTTTTAATCGTTGACTGTTGACCTTGAACAATTTATTTCTTGTATTCACCACTTCAACGGCCCCATAAGGAAACACTTGAATGACTTCAAATGGTCCCGATCACCTTGATTTGAGTTTTTCGGGAAACAACCTAAGGTATGAGTTGTATAATAGTACTTTTTATCCCACCTCAAATTGTTTGAATACGAGATACTTATCGTGCCAATATTTCATTTTTTTCTTATAAATTTTTGCATTCTCGTAAGCATGTAGCCGATGTTCCTCAAGTTCACTCAACTCAAGTAGTCTCTTCCCACCTACAAGATGCAAATCCATGTTAATCATTTTAATCACCTAATATGCTTTATGTTCGATCTCTATAGGCAAATGACGAACTTTTTCAAATACTAATCAATACGGCAACATCCCCAAAGGTGTCTTAAATACCGTTCGATAAACCCATAATGCAACATCGAGTTATCTTGCCCAATGCTTCATTAATTTGTTCACCGTTTTCTCCAAAATGAGCTTGATTTTTCGGTTGGCTAACTCAGCTTGTCCGTTTGCTTGTGGGTGATATGATTGTGATGTCTTGTGCCTACAACCATACTTAAATAATAAAGAATCAAATTGATTATTACAAAAGTGCTTTCCTTCATCACTTATTATGGCCTCGGAATATCGAATTGACTAAAAATGTTCTTTTTAAGAAATCTAAACACTACCTTAGTATCATTTGTAGGTGAGAGAATTGCCTCCACCCATTTAGAAATATAATCCACCGTTACTAAGATGTACTTATTATTGAAAGAACTAGAAAATGGTCCCATAAAATTCATACTCCACACATCAAATAACTCAACTTCTAAAAATATGGTTAAGAGCATTTCATTTTTCCTAGAAGTATTTTCAATTCTTTGGCAGACATCATAACTTTTAACATATTCCCTAGTATTCCGGTACATGGTAGGCTAATAAAATTCCGATTGCCACACCTTAGCTACGGTCTTAGAAGTACTAAAATGACACCCCGTTTCTAATTTATGACAATGATATAAATAATCACGTACATCTTCCTCAGGAATACATCTTTTTGCCATATCATTAGCACAATGTTTGTAGAGTAGTGATTCCTCCCAAAAATAGCTTTTAGTATCATGCAAAAATTTCTTTCTTTGGTGACAATTGAATTCTCTTGAAATTACTCCACTTACCAAAAAGTAGCGAAATCCGTATACCATGGAGATTTAGTTAGAGTTAGAACGAATTTGTCTTGAAAATTCTCCTTGATTGGAACTTGATCATGAGTAAGGATGTATTCTAATCGCGACAAGTGATCTGTCACAAGGTTCTCCGATCCCTTTTTATCCTTTATTTTCAAGTCAAATTCCTGCAATAAGAGAGTCCAACAAATTAAGCGCGGTTTTGCATCTTTTTTATGGAGCAAGTATTTAAGAGCTGAATCGTTCATATAAATGATAACTTTAGATCCTACTAAATAGGATCTAAATTTATCTAAGGTAAATATTATAGCCAAAAGCTTCTTTTTCGTGATTGCATAGATAATTTGTGCTTCATTTAGCACTTTGCTTGCATAATAGATCACATGCAACCTTCCTTCCTTTCGTTGACCTAATGCTGCTCCAATTGCATAATCATTTGCATTACACATAAGTTCAAATGGAAGGGACCAATCCGGTGAAGTGATGATTAGTGTTGAGATCAACTCTTTCTTCAATCTATCAAAAGCCATCAAACAATTATCATCAAAATGAAATGGAGTATCTTTGTATAGTAAATCACATAATGGCTTAGCTATCTTGGAAAAATCCTTAATAAAACGTCTATAGAAGCCTGCATGTCCAAAAAAGCTTCTTATCCCCTTGACATTAGTTAGAAGTGGCATTCGTTCAATCACTTCTATTTTTACTTTGTCCACCTCGATTCCCTGAGATAAAATCTTGTGCCGAATAACAATTTCTTCATGAACTATAAAATGACACTTCTCCCAATTAAACACAAGATTTGTCTCCTCACATCTCTGCAAAATTAAATCCAAATTATAAAGACAATGATCAAATGATGAACCATACACTGAAAAATCATTCATTAAAACCCCATAATTTTTTCAATATAATCAAAAAAAATTGCCATCATATAGCGCTAGAATGGGGCAGGGGCATTGCAAAGGCCAAATGGCATTTTTTTAAAAGAAAATGTGCCATATAAACAAGTAAAGGTGGTTTTTTCTTGATCTTTAGGAGCTATTGCTATTTGGTTATAACATGAAAATTCATCAAAAAAATAATAAAATTCATAACCAGCAATACACTCCAATAATTGATCAAGAAATGGTAGGGAAAAATTATCTTTTTTTGTAACTGCATTTATCTTTCTATAATCAATACACACTCACCATCCTACCACAAGTGTAGATGGAATAAACTATCATTTTTTCCTTTAATTATGGTAGTTTCACCTTTTTTTGGGACAACATGAATAGGACTTATCTACACACTATTCGAGATAGGGAAGATTATACCTGCATCCAACCATTTGATAATTTCTAATCTTACCACCTCTTTCATGTTCAGATTAAACATTCTTTGCACTACCACCGATTTGCAATTCTCCTCCAAAAGAATGCGATTTATGCATATAGAAGGGCTAATTTCTTGTATGTCGGAGATGGTCCATCAGATAGCTTTCTTGTACTTCCTTAAAACTCTTAACAACTTATTGAGTTGCTCTTCTTCCAAATAAGCACTGACAATCTGACAATCACTGGTAGAGTTTCATTTTCACCAAGAAACTCATACTTCAAGGGCTAGGAAGTGGCTTGAGTTCAAGTTTTGGAGCTTGTATCTCCGAAAGTGGTGGAAGTCCCTTTCCTTGTCCAAGATTTTCATACACACACCTCTTCCTATAAGGAGGTTGTGCATTTAAACATTGGGCCAATGCATTAATTTCTTCCTCAATTTCCCCCAACATCCTTGCACTTGATAAACAAATCTCAAGAGAATCGACATCAAAATTGATTTGATCCAATCCTTGGGTTAACATATCAATTGTGTCAATTGAACAAGCATGATCAGTAAAAAAACGGTACTTTTTCATTTCATTCAAATTAAATGCTACATCTTCTTCACCTACTTGAAATTTAAGTTTGCCATTTTTGACGTCAATAATAGTGCCCACAGTTGCTAAAAATAGTCTACTAGATATGATCGGCATAGACATGTCTTCCTCCATATCTAATACCACAAAATCCACGGGAATGATAAATTTTTGCAGTTTGATCAACACATTTTCCAAAACTCTCATTGGATATCTAATAGATCTATCTGCTAATTGTAAGGTAATATTAGTGCATTTTAACTCATGCAACCTTAATTGTCTAGCTACCATTAGAGGAATTAAGGATACACTTGCACCAAGGTCACATAATACTTTTGAAAATTCAATATTATCAATAGTGTAAGGTTTAGAAAAACTCCTTAGTTCTTTCAATTTTGGTGGCAGCTTGTTTTGTATAATGGCACTGCACTCCTCCATTAATGTTATCATTTCCCGATCATCCAATCTCCTCTTTCGTGTCATAATCTCCTTCAGAAACTTGGCATATGAAGGAATCTACAAAATAGCATCAACGAAGGGAATATTAATATGTAATTGTTTGAAAATTTTTACAAATTTCTCAAATTCTTTATCAAATTTATTTGGTTTGAGTTGTTGAGAAAATAGAACCGTCGGAGGTATCAGAATGGTGGTGGAAGATGTAGGTTGTTCTTCCTTTGATTTTCCTTTACTACCTTTCCCCATGTTTACCTCTTGATTCATTAGCTTATCTCCTTGTCTTTTATTCTCATTGTTCTCCCCATTTTCTACCATCAGAGGATCCTCTAATTGTTTACCACTGCGAAGAGTAATGGTCTTGATATATTACCTAGAATTCACCTTCGTTTTACTCGATAATTCCCCTTGATTTCAATTGTTGATAGAATTGGCGATTTGACCAATCTGGACCTCAACATTTCTGTACATTCTGGTCAATTGATGCAACCGTCCCTCTATTCGCTCAAATCTCTCTGAAATTCCTTTTGCCAATTTTTGCACTGCAATCTCCCAATCCGACTTAGTATTTGGCTGTTGTAACCTTGGTTGGAATCCCGACGGATTAGTTGGCCTTAGAGAATTGCCTTGCTCCTTTCATCCAAAATTGAGATGATTCTCCACCTCGGATTGTATGTATTTGAGTATGGATTGTTTTGAGTATGGATTGTTTTGAGTATTCTTATTGTAATTATTAACAAATTGAGGCTGCTCAACATCAATACACTCGTTAGAATCATGTGCTCCTCTACATATGGAACAACAAGCAACATGTGTATTAGTAGAAGAACTCGGACCATATTTAGTTAGACGCCGTAATATTTACATCATATTATTCATTTGAGTACTAAGCATATTGATGGCATCAGTTTCAATTATACCTGCTTGTCATTTTGGATTATCTCTTTCATTAGTCCATTGCTAGTTGTTGGCCGCTATCTCTTCTATCAAATTTTGAGATTCTTCCAGGTGATTTACCCATTAAAGCACCACCTGCGGCTGCATCAATAGTCGTTTTAGTAGAGAAAAATAAATCATTATAGAAAATTTATACAATGAACCAATCCGGAAGTCCATGATGTGGATATTTCTGAAATAACTCTCTAAACCTTTCCCATGTTTCATACAACGATTCCCCCTCTAATTAACTAAAACTAGTAATATCCATTCTAAGTTTAGCCATTTTAGCCGGTAGAAAATATTTATTCAAAAATATCTTAGATAAATCATCCCAATTAGTAAAAGTGATAGGTGCATGAGAATGTAGTTAAATTTTAGCCTTATCCTTCAACGAAAATGGAAACAACCTTGGCCTTATTTCATCGTCACTAACTCCATTAATTTTAATAGTATCATATATCTCCAAAAATGTGGCTAAGTGTGTATTAGGATCTTCTACGGCATTACCTCCAAATTGAGGTTGTTGCACCATTTGGATTAATGATGGTTTAATCTCAAGAGTATTAGCATTTACCATCGACCGTGCTATACTTATTTGGGATCCTTGGGTTTCTGATAGAGTAAAATCCCTAAGAGCTCGCCTATTCACTTCATTTTCCTCAATTTCTTATTCAAAAGGTAGTTCTATTGTGATTCCCTCTATTTAATGAATCTCTTTTTGTTCTTGTTGTGATGTATGCCTTCTTTGTTTTCATAATATCATTTAATTTCGAAATCAAAAGGTGTGACTACCCGTAACGCCCGGTGCATATACTACAAACAAAAATAAATAGATTATGTGGTAATTAATTCACAAAAACTTCTAGAAATCCTAACTTACTCTAAACAAATTAACTAATAAATACAAATAATGTCTAAATTAATAAAATTGATTAGACCCTAATATTTCCGCTCCCTGGCAACGGCACTAAAAAATTGTCGGGATTTTAATATAAGTACAAGTTTAGTTTCGAAATATACCCGTTTTAACTGCAAATATACAGGTCAAATTAATAGTTTATGGCAAATATTGGGTCGATCTCACAGAGAGCAATTATGCAAGTACTAGATCCTTACTTACTCTATTATTTAGACTAATGATTTATTTAAGCAAGAAAAGTAGTGATTACTACTACCTAACTAATCTTAAGTAGATATTTGCCAGATAACAATGAAGATAATTCACCAAATACTTGAGTTTAAGGATATAGATTTCCACTTATAGCATGAAAGATACAAGTAAATAGATTTACCCTCTGTTACAACTCTTGTTTAATTAGCAATTCATTTCCAATATTACCAAATCTTATTCTCATGATAAAATGACCTAGAATAGTCTAGTTTTTCCTATTCTCATGGTGAATAACTAGATCTACTCTTATTTCCTTCATGAAATGTGAGTTTAATCCACTTAAATGTACCTCTATTCTCACGAGTCTACTACTCAAGTTCTATTCATGTTGTTCCATCATTATTACCAACCTTCATTGAATAATAATAACTAGGAGGTTACTATTGGTGATCAAGCAACAATAAGTGATAAACATGCATAAATAGACAAGTTAATACAAGATGTAGCAAGTGTAAATCATATTCACTTCATATCAAGTAGCCATAAGTTTCATCTACTCTCTAGATCTAAAAATTTAGCTACTCATATAAGATATAACAAGAAAGAATATAGTTTTATTGCAAGAACACATATTGAATCACAAGTAAAAGATTGATAAAGAAAGTTTAGTCAAGATTAATGAAGAAACTCCCAATGATCTTCTATTTCTTCAACAAATGAGTTGTACAGTGAAGTCTCCGATTGTTCTCACCAAAGTTCTAGCTAGAGAGAACAAAACAAAACTAACAACTAAGCTCCTATGCTAAAATCTGATATGAGCCACTTCTAATATGATCTACTCTCTCTTCTAATGATTCTAATATATTAAGTGTTAAGAGAGTCAAAAAGGTGGTTTTGGACAAGACATAAAGCTCTTTTTCTCTTCCTTTTTGCATCAGAAGCATGTGCAGTCGAAATTCTCTCTCCAACTATAGTTGCAAAGTAGTGTGAAAACAAGGCAATTGGCAGAGCAAATTGTAGAAATCTGGCTGTAATATGTGACTTGAGAATACGCAACTACAACCCACATATTCTCAAGTCGAGTCTTCATTTCTGTGAATTTGGTCTCATTTCAACTGCTATTTTCTCGACGATGAAGGCTGAACTAGCTCTTGTACAAAACATGAAGTTGTAACTCCTTGAGTTAGCTTTCCAATTCTTTAAGTATCATCCAATTTGGAGCTCTATGGACTGAGATATGACCGAAATACCATCGACTAGTCAATCCCCTATTTCAGCTCTCGACTACACAAATAAGCTTTTGTGTTTCGACTTTTTGATGAGGAAAACAACTGAACTGGACTTTGATGTCTCATATCAAATGTAGATCTATCTATTAGCTTCAAAATGATATAAATATCACCTCGATCCGATCATTGTAGCTCAAGATATTGCCAAAATACAAAGATGTGTCAAAGCTGTCTTTACTTGCATTTCTTCATTTGAATGTTTTGCACTTTATGCCTTCTTTAAACACTTCAAATCATCACCAATCATCCAATTCTCTTCTCAATTCACACCCTTTTGATGATTGAATCATTAAACCTACAAAAACATGAAGTTTTTACCATTAAAATTCATTGAAATGTAATTTTTACCATAAACCACAAAATATATACTTTTACCCTAGTTGATTAGTTATAAAACTAGATAAAACAAACCAAAATTAACTAATAAAATACACTTAAAAACACATAAAACATACTCTTGTCAGTGGGCAATGCGATTGAAAGTAGTGAAGGAAAGACTGAAGAGGAAGATGGAGAGAAACCCACAACTAAAAGAGTGAGTAACCCATACCCCAGATTGTCTTAAAGGCAAATTTGTGGCTGTCCAGCATTTGAAATTTTTAGTTAAGTTATTGACACATTTGCAAAAATATTTATTCTTCTCTCTAGTTTATTTTTCTGCTCTCTTCCCAATCTAAGTAGCTGACCCATTTTATCCTTCTTGTGATCGTGAGATTTCTCCTCTCTTACTTCTCTCTCATTTGTCCCTTTCCACCTCTAAAGCTTTAGAATCTTTATTTTCCCACAGAGTTTCCAGAGAATAACCATTGCAGGCGCATAATGGCGACAATAAGTATCTCAAAGCTTCATGGGACTCTATATGTCTACTTCACTGGATTTCTTGAAATATATGCAAGAAATGAGCACTTCGCACTCCAAGTTCTTTTGCTTTGATTATTTTTCATGATGCACCTTCTATATGTATGTGTATATGTAGTTTTATATACAATAAAATGTTGTTTTGATAGATTGTTGAGTTAGACACATCTATGTTCTTTCAAATTGACACTTTCTTTGTTGCCATATGGACAAATTTGATGTTTGTGTTTCTTGGTAGTTATTTTCTCTTTCATTTTGTAATTTATAATGATCAATTCCATTTCTTTTTTTCCTTATTTATAGTAAATTTAGTTTATTTATTATTCCTTATATTATGTACCTACTCCTACTTTAGGGGAGTCCAAAGAAACTTGTATGACAATTAACTCTTAAATTGTCCCATGAGTTTCCTCTCAATGGGTCTTCTCCTTATGCATGCAAGACTTTAGTCTTTCCTAGGTTTGGGATCTTTCAAATCTTAGTGAAAGTTCAGTTTTGTTTTAGAGCAACTTCCTTCTATCCAAATCAACATCTATCGCTTTTTCCACTTGAGTTTTATCTCCTTTCATATTGTGTTTTCTCTTTTCCCGAATATTCATTCCTTGTTTCCCCTCTTTTTTTTTTCATATCTCTTAAATCTTTATCAACAAAAAATCCATCGCCTGCCAAGTTGTGTGGAAGATCAACATCCTACTAACATAACTTTTGGCATAAAATCGCAAATGAAAAAAGAAAATCAAAAGAACTAGATTTATTTTTTAATTTCGAACTTCCATTGTTATTGATCACACTGATGCAAGGTCTTTTCAATTTTTTTTTTATGAGAAGGATCTTCGAAGAGAAAAGTCATTGAAGAATGGTTTTTACACTTTTAAATATAACAGAAGACCTGCAGCCAAGACAAATTTGTTGGGGATAGACATGAATAAGCTATTGAATTTGGAGCACATTGATTTCAAATAAATTCATATTATGGAGCTAAGTTCCATATAATCACAACTTCTCCCAAGATTAACCGCAAGTAGGGGTGAGCAAACGATTATAATTCGGTAATTCAGTTACATGAATTCGATTATTTGACTTATAGAAATCTAAACCGCTTTCAATTTCGAAATGGCTAAAAAAAACCGAATTCATTTATTGAAAAAAAAAAAGATAAGATAAGTCAGATAACCCTGTTATCAACTTAAGTTTGCAACGCTGCTTCCTAAACAGGCTAACACAATTGTAAATCTGTAATCAAACTAATATTCTAATTGCAAACTTACAGGCTACAAGCCTACAACACCAATTCAAAGGAAATCAACATCCAAATTATTACACACATATTACAAATGCCAAAATTCGTCAACTAGAAATCTAGAGTGCCAACTGCCAATATACAATACAACTACAAGTTAGAAAAAGACTAAACATGCTGTTAATCAGCAGCTAAACAGCCTGAACTAATGAACTCAGAACTCAGAAGTTATTCAAAGTAACAGTGTAACACACACTTTTCAAGTTCACATTTCACAAGTCACAGTGAACTAAATGCAGAAACCAAAAATCAGAAATTATTCAAATTGAAAAGAAAACATAATGGCAAATTGTCTTGAAAATTCAAATTACAAATGGCTTACATAACAGAAACTCAATCAAAATATGAAAATTGATTAGTTCCAGACGCCCATTACCTTTTGTTGGTATCCAACTAAAGAGTAATTGAAGTTTTAGCACCTCCATTAGTCAAGCCTGCAACAAAACATAAAAATGAAATACATTAATTACTTTAAAACAATAGAGAAATGAAATTTTACAATATATTTTACTATATATTTGTATTATTATAGTCATATAACAATTAACAAATACTAAAATAATATATTGTACATTATTATATATTATTATTATTATTATAAGTACATGATAATACCATATACTAATTATAATTAATAGCATTTACCTATATAATATAATAATATATTAGTAGTATATGCTAATACTAAATAGCATTTATCTATATATTATATAATATAA